TCGCACCCCAAACACTCTGCCCTTAGCAAAAACCACCACACCCACTATACACCCCTTGCAGCTCCCCAACACTCATCCTGTAGCTGCACCTCCCTGCTCGCTACTCAACTTGCCGCAACAGACAGCCATGGCGCATGCCTCTCTCAGCCCTACTCCATTGCACCCAGGACAGCCGGACCAAGCTGCACCAGCCACAACCAGCAACAGACCACCACCTCCTCTGCCTCCCTTGAAGTCTTTGCCCCACACTGCCCTGCACCTTCGCCACTCATTGAGGAGGAACCAGAGCATAAAACCTTCACCCACATTGCCCCTTCATCCTCGTGCTTTGCCATCAATCAACTGATCCCCTGAATTTCTCAATTACCCACAATTAACATCTAAAAAATCCGTGTTCTTTTCATAATGCTATTCAGCCGCAAAGGTGCCTACCAGAGCCCAGTCTCCAAATCCTGAGGGGAGATCGGGGGAGGACTGCTGAATCCCCCAGAGGAGCCTCTTTCAGGGATGGGGCTGCCCTGGAAAAGAAGCGGCAGCTTTATCTGCCCAGATGAGCGGCAGCTTCATCTGCCCAGTATTGGAAGGAGAGGACTAGGAGGCACCACCCCCTCTGACTTCCAAGCTGGAATCTGAAAGAGCAAGGGGAACAGAGCTGCCAGCCAGAATGGGTGGGCTGGGGCTTTCCTTCTTCCCTGCCCGAGCAGCCCCTCCTCTGCTGCTTGTTGTGCTGCGGCCGCCATGTGAAGGAAGTGCACCACATAGCAACTTAGTCAGCCAGCCAAGAAACAGCAAGGCAGGTCCAGTAAGGTCCCAGGAATGGCAAGGGAGGCCCAGCAAGGTCCTGGGAATGGTGAGGGAGGCCCGGCCAGGTCCCAGGAACAGCGAAGGAGGCCCAGGAAGGTCCCTGGAATGGTGAGGGAGGCCCAGCAAGGTCCCAGAAATGGCAGAAGCCCAGCAAAGTCCTGGGAATGGCAAGGGAGGCCTGGCAAGGTACCGGGATTGGCGGGAGGGCTAGTGCAACTCGCAGGCTTACCTGTGAGCAGTCAGATCAGGGCTGCTTAGTTGGGATGCAGGCACCATATGAGAAGACAGGTTAAAGGCAATCCACAAGGACCCAGTGTGCCACATAGGAGGTGAGGAGTGACTGGGCTGGGCGAACGTCAGGCGGGTGGGATAAGCATCAGGCGGGTGGGGCAAGAGAGTGAGTGGCGACCAAGCAACCATGTAGAGAGCATGGCCAGCCAGAAGTTATTACCAGTTCAGCAACCCATGCCAAATCCTTACTACTGGTTCACCCGAACTGGTGCAAACCGGATGAATATGATTTAAATAGAAATATTACAAAGATTGTAAAGCGATCCAACTAACAAACTCCAAATCAATAGACTCCAAAACAAGCATTTTCTCAAAGTTCCATTTTATTAGAGTAGTCATTTGGCGCTTCTGGAATCCAAATCTGAGAGTTCCGGGTTTTCCCTTCATAATTGAAAATCCAAAACTCATCCCCTGCATCCATCAGTCTATCACATGATCCAATCACCAGCTATCCCAAGTGGAGACATGCCTCCAACCACTCCTTTCCCAGGCGCAGGATGGCTTGTCCTTGATTCAGAAGAAGAACGTTGCTATGTCTAAACTTCTTCCTCTCTGTAAGATCCCCCCTCCCAAATTCCCAGGCACTAGAATGTGACAGTGTGGAAGTTTCTAAGTAAAATGTGGCTTCCAAAGATGACAATGGACACAGGTCACAGTTACTTTTTCCTCACCACTGTAACTTTAAGCAGCTGCTGCCAGAGGCAGATACTACACACAGTCTTGCTGTCTTCCTTTTTTGAATTTCTCATTGTCTCTATTTTTAATAGAGATATTTTTAATATTTCTATATCACATAGAAAAATATTTTTTCTATGTGATATAGAAAAAAATGGCAGCTACTTCAGCTGGAAATACTTGGAAATATTAGATTTTTAACAGCATTCTCCCATTTGAAAACAAAAAAAAAATCATTTTTGTTTTGTTTTGTTTGTTTTCAAAGATCACTGTGTTTTAAATGTAAATTTCAGGTTTGAATGTGCCTGAGCCATTATTGGTAAAACATGGAGGTACAAAAAAACAAAACCCATTCTCTCTCTTACACACACACACACTCACTTCAGAGACATTATCATCCCAACTCAATTTCAGTTTTCTAAAACTTACTAAATAAGGATGCAAACAATTGGCAAAAATCTCAGGATTCCTATTTCAGGAATATTTATGTATTCTTAAAGATATTATGTCTTATCAGAATCCTCCATCTTAAATATAAAGACACTATTTGCCATGAATTAATAAGTAAGGACAGAATTTCAAACTTATGTCAACTAAAGTTTGTGAAGTAGGTAAAGATGAGAAGATGATAGTATAGTTCATATAACCCTTCTGGGAAATCATAGACTAGGTCATTCCATTAATATGATTACAGACAATCTCTCCCCAGAACAGAGCATGTATGATCTATCTTTCCCCACTACAGAGCTTCCTCTTGCATACTAATTAAAACATACTACTGGCAAATATGTTATGAATAAGTTAAGAAGAAGAAAGAGAAATGAATCTTGCATTCTGAGCTCTATATTTGACTCTAAGAAGCAGATGATGGTTTATGTACAACTTATGAACTTAATTTTCTGTTTTGCAATATATGTCTCTTTGTGTCTATGTTTAAAAGCTACCTGCAACTCTGCACTTCAGCACTACCTGAGTTAATTGTGCCTAACTTTGGAAGAAGCCAAGCATATCTTTGGTTTTTTTTTAAAAAAAATCTTTTTCTAGTTAGAAATGTTTTTGTTTCTGCTGAATGGCACACTTCTATTAAGAGCACATACAGACTGCACATACAGCACGTCCAGTTACTGAAGTATCTGACAAAATGATGACGTATAATTAATTGTATACTATACGGAAGAAAAATAGCTGCTAATATTGTTGTCAACATTCTGAGCAAGTATTCCCACAAGATTATAATTAAGGAAAGTTATCTCCCAGTAGAATCCATGCAATTACAATATAATACATACATTCTTAAATAAGCAGAAGAGCATAATCTTCTTTAAAAGGTGCTCTCTGAGCCTGATTGTTTTCTTGCAGACATTTTATTAGCCAAACTACATAACATCATCAGTGCTAGTATGGAATGGGATGTGTTCTCAATTTATATTCTAGTGCAGGGTGTCAAACTCGATTTCATTGAAGGCCACATTAGGGTTGTGTTTGACCTCGGGGGACCGGGTGGGCAAGCCCAGCTCAACTCACTTGTATCGGGAGCACCTGTGGTGGTCCAAGCTCTCTGCTCGTGAAACGGGCTCCCAAGCTCCATTTTCAGCTGTGATGGCTTTCTGCAATCCTCTGCCAGCGAAAACGTAGCTTGGGAGGGCCTCGTGCAACCCTCTGCCAGAGAAAATGGAGCTTAGGAGGTCCATGCGCAGCCCTCGCAAGCTCATTTTCAGCTGTGAGGGCCTCCTGCAACCTTCTGCCAATGAAAACTATCTGAAGAGCCAACTGATCTAGGAAAAGATGTAACTGGTACACCAGTTGAAAAGCCTTCCTGGCATCATTTGTTAATCAAGCTCATCAAGTTGTGAGTCCAGGAAAACTCCCAAATTGCACATTTAAATAAGAAAGTGCAATCCCATCCAAGATGAAAGAAAGATAGAGTTCGAGAAGAGAGACAGTAGAGCCCTATGGCACTCAACAAAGGTAAAGCCTAGAGATGATCTTTCTCCTCAGTCAATTCTAAGTGGAACTTCCCCCAGAGAAAGGAAAAGAAACACTAAAAGAGTACCTCTAATCCTCAGTCTGTGAAGCTGGCTCAAAAGTATTCTGTGGTTAATGATATTGAAAACCACTGGGAAATCAAGCTGCAAAAAGGATGGATGCACCTCTACCTTCCTGCCCCATCCCAGGCCATCAACAAATATAATCAAAGGTCTGAGACAATACTAAATCCAGATATGAAACCCGATTAAAATGAGTCCAGATAATCTGTTTCCTCTAGGGTTATCATCTCCTTCTCCGCAATCTTCCGCAGAAATGGAAATTTGGAGACTGCACCTAGGAAAATCTCTTGAGGTGTGTCACTACTTCTTCTTCTCCCACAGTATGAAAGTGAGAGAACTTTCATAACCTAAGAATAACCCAGATCCAGTAAACAAGTAGCTATACTAACAGGCCCAAGAGCCCTCTCCAGTTCTGCAGTTATTGGTAAGTTGACTTAAATATGTAAAGAAGGATAATAAATTCCACTGATCAATAAAGTATATTGTATCAGATAAAATAGAGTTGATGTATAAGTAAATATGCAGAAATTCATATAATATGAAAACTGTCAACTTGGGAAGCATCCCTGACCTGCTCTTGAGTTGCTATAGGCAAGGGGGATGGAAAAGCAAACTTTGCAGCTGCATCAAGGAGCTGGCATTTCAGCCAAAACAAAGCACATTCCAACCAATATGTCTAAGTCATCTCTACAGAAACTCACAGTATGAAACCCACACTATCAAAAAAATGACCAGGAAAGCCCCCCGGACTGCTGCAACCTGTGGCAGAGCCAATGAGACTATGGTACGAATTGCAATGGACTTTATTATGGAGTTGCCAAAGAGTGGGGGGAACATGGTGATCTGGATCCAAGCAGGCACATTTCATATCCTGCAGCAGACTACCCTCAGACTACCAGTTAGCCAAACTGTTCCTGAGGTATATCTACTACATGCATAGCATACCAAGAAGAATCATCTCAGACAGAAGACTCCAGTTCACAGCTAAGTTCTGGAGGGAATTCCTCCGGTCTATTGGGTCATCCCAGGGCCTTAGCTCAGCTTTTCATCCAGCTGCCAATGTGGGGGGGAGAGAACATCTGAACGCCATGATAGAGCAGCACCTGAGTGTTACATAAACTATCAGCAGTCCAATTGGGCCTTTTGCTGAGGTCGCATACAATAATGCTGATCATACTAGCATGGGTCTAATTCTGTTCAAAATAGTGAATGCCATGGTATTCATACCAATGCCAGAATACCCAAGGGATCTCCCCTCTCCCCCAATTAGCTTGACAGACTGACTGTCAACACTAAAATCAGCATGGGAAAATGTCAAGTATGCACTAGCTAAAGCAGAGCAGACCTATAAGAAAAGGCAGACAAACACCAAACCCCACAATGACCATTCCAGCTGGAGGGGAAATCTACCTTTTCACAAAGTACTTGAGATTAAAACTCCGGTAAGAAGCTGGGACCCAAGTTCATGGGACCATTCCCCATAGTGAAGATCATCAACCGAGTCATGGTGTGTTAGGAATATAAGTCACCTAATAGGTATTTGGGTTAGAAATATATAAACCAGGATAAACATTTTATAACTGCCTCTTTAAGGAAGTGCAAAAAATCTGTAATTGGGTGTGGTTTTTCAAACGGCTATAAGATGGAGCCAGAAACCTGGGTTGTTTTAGTCTGAGTCTCAGAAGAGAGTGTGAGTGTATCTCTGTTTCCTTCTGTTGGAAAGTATTGCCGTTCCTCGGTTTTTCCTAATAGACTGCTATTTCTATATTTGATGTAAGTCTGATACTGAACTGTTTTTGATTCTGGACTTTGATATTGGAATTATCCCTGAACCGAACACTGACTGATTTAACTGTGAATGACTTTGGACTGTGTTTGAACTTTGCTTTAACCTTTCTGGAAGTAAAAACCTACATTTACTGTACCGTGTATCTGTGTGCTGTGTGTGTATTATTCAAACACTTCTCTCAAATATGTCTCCCTTATGAGCTCATTCTCCTAATGGGGAGTTACCTCAACATGGTGCAATTAAATTTGCCCTGACTGCTAGGGAAGATACACCCAGTATTCCATAGCAGCTTCTTAAAACCCTCAACCCTCAAACCAACCCTGAGACCACTACCCCGTGAGTCCCCAGATCCAGTGCTCATAAGGGGGGCTATCATGCCCCTGTTGGAGACTGACTCCAAGGGAGAGGAGGAACAGCCAACAGAGAGCGGAAGTGTGGCTCCAAAGGTTGTGGAGGAGGCTGGGGAAGGGCAGAGGCCAGCTGGGCAGTCAGAGGAAGACCCAGGCCCATCCCCTCTCCATCCTAGGGCATGCAGGGAGGAGAGGATAAGGGAGAGACGTGAATGGCATGGTTTACGGGGGAGGAAAGGCCTTGATTGTCTTCATGGGTTGCAGCTGTGAGAACTGGTTAAAAGGACGGACATGCATATGGGCCAGTGCTGGAAACAAAGCATGGAAATAAGGCATTGGTACTTACTTGATACACCCATTCTCCGGGAGCTATGAAGAGCATCCAGTAGTGGGAGGTGCTTCAGTCTCTCCTCAGATAGGCTGGGCTTAATTACAAGGGCACTCCTCCTCCACAGTACCCCTCCCTAGCATCCCCTAGTTTTGGCGAAGTTGAAGTGTCAACACATTTCCGTCCTTCACCTTATCTAAGAGTTGGCCGGAATAGGAACCCCACCAGATGGAACTTGGGTGGGGCTGGATGCTCTTCACAGCTCCCGGAGAATGGGCATATTAGGTAAGTACCAATGCCCTTTCCCCTTCTGAGCTGTTCAGAGCATCCAGGAATGGAACATACCAAAGCTTGGCCTGTCCTATGGGAGGGAAACCATCTGGATCTATGTTCCTTCTTGGTCCCTGTGGACTCATTGTAACACTCCCCTACCAAATAAGATCTCCGCAGAGGCAAACACATTAATTTTATAGTGCCTGATGAAGGGTGATGGAGACTTGCTGCCCTATAAATTTCTTCTATTGGTGCTTGCGTGGCCCATGCTGCCGACGTTGCTGCACTTCGTGTGAAATTCATGGTTATGCCTCTATGTACCGGAAGTGACTGAGCCTCATAAGCCTTGGCAATCGTGGCTCTCAACCATCTGCCAATTGTTGAAGATGAAACTTTGTGCCCTTGGGTGGTAGGTTGAAATGAAATAAAAAGAGCTTCCATTTTCCTAAAGTCAGCAGTATGATCTAAGTAAGTGTGTAGGCTGTGTCTTATGTCAAGCCGGTGCCATTGGTATTCGAGTCTGTGAGCTGGTCTCAGGCAAAAGTTCGGGAGCACCAACTCCTCCGCCCTGTGGAAAGCAGAATTAATTTTTGGCACGAACGTTGGATCTGGATGGAGGACTCCGTCATGGTGAAATATACATAGGTCTTTTCTTACTGAAAATGCAGCTAGTTTGGAGATATGTCTTGCTGACGTAACAGCTATTAAAAAGACTACCTTGTATGTCAGAAAATGGAGACTCGTCTTCAGTGGCTCAAAGGGTCCCTTCGTTATAGCAGAAAGAATCTTGCCAAGATCCCAAGTTGGGTAGCGGTGAATCACCGGGGGCCGTCTATTTGTGGCTCCACGAATGAAACTATGAATGTGAGGATGATGTGAAATGGAATGCAGATCAACCCAGGAAATAACCAAAGCTAATGCTGCCACCTGCCTTCGCAATGTGTTGGGCAAAAGACCCCTGTCCAGACTGTCCTGCAAGAACTCCAGTATTTGTGCCACTGATGGGGTCAATATTGAATTTAGCGCACCATTTACAAAATATGTTCCAAGTGGCATTGTAAATGTGATTTGTCAATGGGCGTCTGGCCATCTGGATGGTGGAAATGACCCTGTTGGAAATTTGTTCGCCCTTCAGATGTTGCCACTCAATCTCCATATGGCAAGGTGGAGCCATTGAGGATCCGGGTGTTGAACTCCCCTGAGATAGAGCGACTCTGTCTGGTGGAATCCTCCATGGTTCTGCTAATGACAGATCTGGAGGTCTGCAAACCACGGCCTTCTGGGCCAATATGATGCTATTAACAACAGCTCCACTTTCTCCTCCAGAAGCTTTTGGATCACCTTGGGGATCACTGGAAGAGGGGGAAATACATACAGTAGGCCTGGTGGCCAGCGGCATTGAAAGGCATTGATATTCTCTGCTCCCTGAGTTGGGTACCTTGATATGAATCTTGGGAGTTGGGTGTTGAGAGGTGAGGTGAATAAGTTGATCGTCAGTTGTCCGAATCTCAGGGCTGCTTCTTGGAACAGTGACAGATGCAACTGCCATTCTGATCAACTGTGGCCCTGCTCAGTCAGTCTGCCTGGATGTTGGACAGACTGGAGATATGCTCCACCCTGATGGAGAGCAAGTTCTTCTCCACCCAAAGACACAACTTCTCTGCCTCCCTCATCAGTTGACCCGAGTGGGTACCCCCTGTTTGTTTATATGAGCCTCCATTGTCTGTTAGAATTAGGACATGTTTGGACTGAATTAGTGGAATGAAGCTGCGAAGAGCCAGATGGACAGCTCTGAGTTCCAGTAGGTTTATGCTGTACGATTGTTCGAGAACAGACCAACGCCATTGTGCCATGTGGTGCTGGTAGTGTGCTCTCCATCCTAACAGGCTGGCGTCTGTCGGGATGATAGATCTGTTGGGTTCCTTGAATAGACAACCCCTGTTGATGACAGGTGTAGTCCACCAATGAAGAAATCTGAGGACCTTTTGTGGTACGAGTACTCATGAGTTGGAAGTGTTTCTTCCTGACCTTTGGAAGGGCAACAGGTACCATTGTAGGGTTCTGGTGTGCATCCGGGCCCAGGGAACAACAGAAATACAGGAGATCAGTTTCCCCAATAGTTTAGATAACCAGATCAGGGGCACCCGTTTAAGGGTCCTGATCTCCTAAGCTAGTTGTCTGATACTCTCGTCTGTCCAGAGAAAGAAAGACTTTCCTTTCCATGGTATCTATAATGGCTCCTAGATCAATTAGGCAAGTCGATGGAGTTAAGCGATTCTTAGCCCAGTTTATAGAAAACCCATGGTGTTGAAGAGCCTGAATTGTAAACTGGGTGTCTAGTTCAGCCTGACTAACTGATGATGACAAGATTAGAATATCATCTAGGTAGAGCTGTAAACGGATGGGTCTACCCAAGATGTCTGGCCAGAGCTCCCAGGACTTTAGGGAAAGTTCTGGGAGCTGATACTAGCCCAAAAGGAAGAGCAATATACTAAAAATGCATATTATTATAGCAAAATCTAAGAAATTTACTGTGGGAAATCCAAATCGGAATGTGCAAGTATGCTTCTGTCAGGTCTACAGATGTTAAAACGTCACTCTTCCTGATGCCAAGTAGGATAGATTGTGATGTAGTCATTTTAAATTTCTGGTACATCAGACAGTGGTTGAGGCATTTTAGATCTAAAATTGCTCTCCATCCCCCCGAACTCTTTGGAACCACGAAAAGGTGTGAGAAAAACCCCTGTCCTCACTGATCCGGAGCCACCGGTTAAATGGCCCAGATCTCCAGTAGATGTTGTATAGCTGTGTGCATAAGAGATCTTTTGGCAGGGTCTTTAGAGAGAGGGGATTTCATAAAGAAGTTTGGGGGTGATGGATTGGAATTCCAGAGCCAAACCAAATCTGACTGTGTCCCTGACCCAAGAGTCAGAAGTAGAGGGATCCCATTGATCGGCGAAGAATTTTAGTTGACCGCCGATAGGTATTTCCTGAAATTCCCTATTTGGGATGCCAGAAAGACCTGTTTCCAATCCCACATAAAGGTATCTTGCCTTGTCCTCCCCTTCTAATCCTGTCCCCAAAGTCAGACCTTTTGGGTTGATGCCCTTGTCTATATCCCGGGGTCCTCTGGGATCTATTAGAGTAGGAGCCCTGGTAGAAGGGACGAAAGGAGCTCTCCGAAAGGACTGCGGGCTTCTACTGTCAGATTTCTGAAAAAGAGAAGGCAGGAATTTTTTCTTGTTCCTAGATTCTATTAGGAGAGGATCAAGGACAGTGCCAAACAGTTTAATGCTTGAGTTGGGTGCAGAGGCAAGCTTCCACTTTGCCTGAGCCAAAGCAATCTCCGAGCAGATACCTGAAAGGCAATGGCTCTGAAAGAAAATTTAACAGCATTAAACATCACATCAGCAGAAAATTCTGCTGTGGCTATTAGTTTGGCAATGTCCTCATGAGCTCGAATGTTGGAGTGGGGATGCTGTCCCTTAGATGGCAGAGCCATCTTAAGGAAGATCTAGTAAAAAAGGATGCGGCCGTAGCCACTCTTATGGCTAGCAAGGGATTGCAACACTCCGATGATGGAATGGAGGATTCAATGGGTCTCTGATGACAATTAAGGGTTCTAATTTAAGAAAGAAAGGATCAAACCTGAGAGTTTTTGGAGAGTATTTTTGCTATTCCAGCCAACCAACAGAAAAAGCTGCCTAGTCTTGTGATGGCTGAGCAAAAACTGGCGGATGCTAGGGAGGAGTACCATGGAGGAGGAGGAGTGTCCTTGTAATTAAGCCCAGCCTATCTGAGGAGAGACTGAAGCACCTCCCACTACTGGATGCTCTGAACAGCTCAGGGGAGAAATCTCTAGTCTGTTATTCCTCTCTGTGTGTGTTCCGATATCTGTGGACGTCTTCAAGCCCTTATCTTACCCGATTCCCTTAATTGCTTCAGTGTGGTTTGTATTGTTTTTACTCTTTATAATTTATAGGCATTTTTAGTTTAAATGGCATTTTCTCCTTTTCATATCTTCTTGTAGGGGAGTTTTTTTGTCTCCAGTCAAGGATATTTGGAGCTTTGAAGCAAAGTGAAGGAATAAAAGGAGCTTCACCTGTTTTTGTGACTGTGTTTATTTTGTATCCCACCCTGGGTCATCACAGGAGCAAACCCATTATGAGATGCAATGAATCCTTGACTCGAGGTGGCACAGGAGACAGCTCCAATATGTAATCAAGTGGAAGAGCTATCCCTTATTGGAGGCATCTTGGGTAAAGAGTAGAAACATCCAAGCTGATTGCCTCATAGCTAAATTCCATGAAGACTACCCAAACAAGCCTGGGGGGGGAATCGCACCCTGAAATCTATACCTGTACTCAAACTGACTTTGCTTTGCACAGGAAGTGAGGAGAACTGAATGTCAACTTACGAAGCATCCCTTACATGCTCTAAGTTGCCATAGGCAAGGGCGATGGGAAAGCGAATTTCACAGCTGCATCAAAGAGCTCGCATCTCAGTCAAAACAAAGCACATTCCAACCAATATGTCAAGGTTGCCTCCACGGAAACCCACAATGTCCATAGGGAGTGACTTTTACAACCCGCGAAATTGCTTTGTTGAGGAATGTGACTGATGACACACACATATTGGCGGAGGGGGAAACAGGATCAGAGGCAAAGCGCGAATTGAGGTCAGAGTTAGCTCCACCTGGTCCTTACGATGTGAAGCTCCTAATAAATAACTGGATTTTTTTTTAAACTTGGCTTGAGGCTCATGTTTTAATTAGGGCATCTGTCAGAACCCTGCCAAAAATTATAGTTGTAATTTTCATACAGTGTGATGATGCTGTATAATATTATAAATACAGCATTGTCATACTATATGAATATTACAATTACTATTATAATTGTATACAATTAAAATAGTTCAACTAACCAATTCACTGGTGAGAGTAGCAATAATCTCAGAATAATTTTAGAATGTGTCCCTGTCTGCTGCAATATTGAAATTTAGTATATAACATAGCAAGGACACCTTCACAACTAGAAATACTGAAAATGATTCTTTTAAAAATGTAAAACATTCCAAAATCAAAACACACTAATCATAAAAAAGCCAAACTGTGTTAAAGACACAGCCAAACTGTGTTCTTTTTAACATTCACTCTATATTGAGGGATGAAGAAGAGTTTGGAGTAGTATCCATAAATGTGTAAAACTGACGAAACCACACAAAACGTGAAATTTCTCTATATGCCACATCATTGAGAGAGTTTCCAGGATCACATTTTTAGAATGCATACCACTTTTTTGAATATACATATACACCAACTCCAACTTGCCAAAATATTTAGTAGGCAATAATCAAGCCTTCTGCACTGGAAACAGAAGCAGTTGTTTCCAAGAAATAATGTGTATCATATGTTTCACATAAAGATGAAATCTTGGATTAATAATGAGACAATCAAAAGTCTTGTGCTTGTTTTTAACATTTTTCAGGAATCCAAGATCTTTTAAAGAAGAAAGATAATGTTGAATAGAAATGAAAACATTATGTTACAGAGCATTAAAAAGGAAACATAGTAAAATATGCAATTACAAATCTAGGATATAAAGTGAAATCATATTGATCAGTATTTTCAATACAGTTTTATGCTGTACAAATAATGCCCTTATATACCCTTCTCCTATAGCATATTGCGTCTAATATTTCAAGCGATGCTCCTGTCTGATTAACAGTAAAACTCTTGATTTGTGTAATGTTGGCATTTCGTTTGTGCTTGTGCCAATAGGTATGGCATTCACTAAGCAGGAAAAATAAATTATTATTTCAGCTAAGAAGCCTAAGGCATCCCTTTGTCACTTTTCCTGTTTCAATTACTATAGATTATTCTCACCAAGAACTGTGAAACTGTATAATTTGTGGGTTTTTTTTCCCCTCTAGTAACTACTACGTTTTTTTCAGCAACTTAAAATAATTCTCTATACCTGTGATGGCAAACCCTTGGCATGTGTCCAGAAGTGGCATGCAGAGCTCTCTCTGTGAGCATGCGTGTTGTTGCCAGCTGCTCTTCTGGTTTGTAACACAGAGGCCAACTGGTCTTTGTGGGTGTAGAGCACCAGAAAACAGCCCAAAAAACAGCAAAAAACAGACCATTTTCTGGGCTATTTTCAAGCCAAAAATGCCCCCCCAAATGGCCTGAAAACGGCTCCAAAAATGGCCTGAAAATGGCAAAAAAACAGGCATGAGCACACTGGTCAGCTGGTCTTCGGATTTCTGACACTCCGACATCCGCACATGCATGTGCATGCACATGTATTCTGGTTTGGAACTCGGTACCTAAAAAGTTTGCCATTAATGCTCTATACCAAGGTTAACTAAGAAAAATAATGCTTAAAAATTAGTAAACAAGATGTAAAATCTTATAGTCAATTTATTAAGTAATAAACTACATTTCCCAAATGCTTTTTTGCAAGCTTTCATATTTTCTCTATTTCACTTTCATAGAATTCTGGCAAGTGTTGTTCAAAGGATCAAAAAGTTCAGCTCTGAAATTCTAATAAAATTTGCCTATTTTCTATTGCCCCCAATTATTATAATTATCCTCAATAACCTATTATTTCAGTTCAAGAAGCCAATTATATCTCTACCTCATTTTTTTGCAGCTTCAGATTGTTGAAGCATCAATGCATGATTCTAAAATCTATAGAACAAAGCTGGTCACTTATTAAGTAGATGCTATCAAGCAGGCTGGACACCAAGTCTAAGGCTAGAAAAATGCTTGATGCCCTTATTTTATTTTAGTAATAACTCATATCTCTTCTAAGCTCTTTCCAAAGTGGTTGATTAATGAGAGGTTAAAAACTGTAAAGGTGTTTTTATTATAAACAACAACCTGAAGTGAGGGATAGAATAAATACAAACTTCTAATAAAAATAATATATTTGAAACACATCAGAAAGTGGACATATTTATGTACATATATAATTATAGATTATATAAACATCACAAAAATAAATTATTTCTAAATGTTTAAACTGTGGGAATCATGAATCATGAACACGTTATTTTTTCTTTATGTTATTGTACATTTATATACATTTATTGTACACACATATACACATGACTTTCATTTCCACTCTGATTAAGATCTATATTTATTTAAAATACTGTAAAATACTTTTTCTATATGAAATTAGCCTTAGTTAATTACAAAAAGCTGTAAATAATGATTTAATTAAAAATGCAGTTTACTTATTTGAAGGCAGTATGTATGTTCTTCAGAGGATGTTTATTATTCCTTCATGTTCTGCAAGTATGTCAGAGGACAAAACCCACTATTCAGGCATGTCAAATTGAGCTATAGTAGCTGCAGCTTAAAACAGATTATGTAAAGTCTTTAACTACTTACTTTCTGAAACAATATTTATTTATTTATTTGTCAATAACTTACAAGATAATAAGCATAAGTATAAATACAGGAAATGGGTATGAATAATTATGGACAATAGGACAGGGATGGTAGGAATGATTGTGCGCTTATGCACGCCCCTTACATACCTCTTAGGAAAGGGGTGAGACCAATAGTGGTTAGTTTGAGGGAAAAGGAGTGTGGGTTTGGGGATTTGACATCAGAGTCAAGTAGTGTGTTCCAGGCATTGACCACTCTGCTGCTGAAGTCGTACTTTCTGCAATCAAGTTTGGAGTGGTGTACATTAAGTTTATATCTGTTGTGTGCTCTTGTATTGTTGCAGTTGAAAGTGAAAAAGTCATTGATTGGTAGTATATTAAAGCAGATTATTTTATAAATGATGCTTAAGTCAAACAGTAGGCGGCATAGTTCTAGGTTGGCCAAATTCAAAATCTCAAGCCTGGTGGTGTAGGGTATTCTGTTGCGAACAGAGGAGTGTAGTACTCTTCTTGTGAAATACTTCTGGACACCCTCAATTGTATTAATGTCCGATATACAGTGCGGATTCCAGACAGCCGAGCTGTATTCAAGTATTGGTATAGAAAAGGTTTTGTATGCCCTAGTTAGTAATTCAGTATTACCAGAGGAGAAACTTCTTAAGATTACATTTACAACTCTTGAAGCTTTCTTGGCAATGCTGTTGCAGTGAGCTCTTGCACTTAGGTCATTAGATATGAGTGCTCCAAGGTCTTTAACAGAGTGAGGGTCATCAACGTGGTCATAGCAGTCTAGATTATATTTGGTATACTGATTTTTTTACCAATGTGTAGGACAGAGCATTTGTTGGTCAAGATTGGAGTTGCCAATTGTTTGACTATTCAGACAACATCATCGAGGTTGCTTTGAAGGACAGTAGCATTGTTAGTGGTGTTGAATAATTTTACGTCATCAGCGAAGAGGATACAGTTGCTTATAAAATGATTGCAAAGGTCATTTATATAGAGTATAAAGAGTGAACGCTGCCTTGGGAAACACCGCTGTTGACTGGTGCAGGGTTTGCTAGGGCATTTCCTATTTTTCCTATTTTTTGTCTATTTGACAAGAATGCAGTAATCCACTTATGAAGGGATCTGGAAATGCCAGAAGAATTTAGTTTTAACAGTAGTTTGTCCTGTACCACTGAGTCAAAGGCTTTGCATATATATAACCTGGAATAGACTGATTTCCAACACAACAATCTTATCTCAGGTACACCATGAATATGACAATTCAGAGTAGAAAGAAAGCTAGAAAGAAAGAAACTGAAAGAAGCCGAATACCCTACACAACTTGGAAAAATCAACCCTTGTATTTTCTTCTTAGTGTCTAAATGTGAATTTCCATATGCTTCTCATGGTATTCAACAGCATGACTCT